TTCAATTTTTTATTTTTTTGTCTGCATAACTTAGTACTGGATTCACAAAAGTTAGATTTTTTCCGTTTCTTTGGATGACTTTTTTCAAACAGGTTTAAAAATAACATAATTTGAAAATTCTAGTTTTAAAAATAATCATCTTTGAAAACGTTTGCCAAAATTTAAAAGTTTGATGCTTTTAGTATTTATGATTTGTAAAAAGAACACCGTTCAGGTCGTTTCCAATGCATTGTTTAATATGGACGACCAATCTTTTGGTGACTCTAGTTTTGAGTGAACCATGGTTTTAGTCACTTGTGTTCGGTCACGAACACATCCCAAAAATTCTGAGAAATTTTTTTTTCTAAAAATCAAATTTTTGGTTCATGAAAACATGCTTATTTTAGAGTTTCCGTATCATTTCTTGTATCTATGGATTTGCACGAAATTCTATTATAAGCATTTTTGGTCAACCCGGGATCATATTTTGTAAATAAGTGTTAGTGTTTCAACACACTTCAGTATTGATTGAAAGTGTGATACAGCAGAGTCCGGTACTCAAGGTCAGCCTAAGATTTTGCTTCTAGACTAATGACACAACCTATCAGTCTCTACGTGCTAGATCTAGTTAGTATGATTTACTGAGAGTTTATTTTACTGCTGAAAGCTTGCAGTTGATTCAAAATTGTTAAGTTATTGAAAAATTGTTACTTCATCATCTTACTACTCTCAAAATTAGAGTTTTTAGCTAGAGGTTATAGCATAGTTTTCAAGAAAATCACATGGCGCAGCCAGCAGTGGCTGAAGATTTGGTCAAAAAAAACATACTTGATTGATTTAATTGATAATGTTTATATTCCAATCAAATTTCCTCAATAATACCGCTCACATAATGAGTTACAAATTAAATTAGTTTAATGATATTCTTTTCAAAAGTATTATGCTCGTGCACAATGGGAATTTGTTTGAGATTCACTTAATTGTAGTTTTGTCATCCCGTGTTGAGCTCACATTGAAAGTTAGCGATAAAAAAGTGAAAAAAAAAACAGCGATCCCCATTGATGAATTATCGCTAATTTGGCTTGTTTTCAGCAATGAAACAGCGATAAAACTCTATCAAAATGAGCAAAAATATTGCGTTAACTGGGGTTCGCTCACCTATTCTGCGTATATTTAGACTGTATGCTACCTCTGGGTTATCAATCATTAGAGTATAAAAAGTTAAAGTGATTATCAACTAAAACTCTCATTTGAAAGCTACTAGAATGAGCTTTAAAATTTTAAATTTTAGCGATGATTTATTACGAAATCTGAAAAATTGCAGGACTCTTAACATGTAAAACAGAACAAGTAAAAAATTTGTTCACATTGTCCGACAGTCGTGCAAATTGACATGCAGACTAAATAGGCCATGGCAAACATATGTGGTCTCCATATTTAACCTTGTAAAATCACTCGTTACACTACAAAATTCATGCTCGTGTGAGGTGGGTGGGGGTAGCGAAAAAGGGCCAATCACAGGTTTATTTATGCAGCAAACTCTGAATTATACATGAATCAGCGCTGGAAAATAGCGATGACTGAGATATACTTCAGAAAAAGCAATAATTAACGGTGGGATTTCAACCCGTGATTTTTTGCTTTTGTTTGCGAATCACAGCTTCGCCTCTGTGTAATACAACTTAGTTAATTTTTTAGCCGATTCTTAGGAAATGAGATGATGGGTAACTCAATCAATTTTGATGGGCAGCTGCGCGTGAATCGTCTCCACAGCTGCACATTGAGAGAGTTCGCAAGCATGCTTATCACAATGATCCTTGGTAAAATTTGGGTAAGCCCAAGAGCCAATCCCAGTGCTCTGACTAGATCTAAGTTGGGAACAATATCCACCGTTATCTGGGGTGTTGATCCTTACAGTCCAGTTAACGCGACTCAAATATTGGACGTTACCTTTGAAAGAGACCCCGGGAACAATTACGACCCGAATGCGATTAGAGCGATGTACCTGGGGACCCAGTTAGGAAATCTCAGATTAGAACTGGCGGCGATTTTGGCTCCTTACTTGGACAGCAGCATGCTTCAATTGACAGGCATGATAAAGAACTGTGGGTCCCCGCCTCACCTTTTGAATCTGATAATTTCTGGAAAACGGTCTTTGAAAGCGGAGTTAACCAAAAAACTGAAAGAGGAAAGTTTTCTCTGGGATACACCTGAAGGTTAGCAAAGCACCATAGCCTTAGACATAAAAACAGCAATTTAATTTCAAAAAAAAGAACTGAGTAACGTCGCGCAAAGTTGATGCCAGAACTTGTGAAAGTGCGTTCAAATTTTTTTGAACCCGCTTTCTGCAAAAACCGGCAAGCTTCCAATAACTGGACCGCAAAAAACACATATACGGAACATTTTTCTCGTTTTAAGTCATTGGTTGAGAACATTGTCCTTAAACTATTAAGACAACAAAATGACTATCGGAATATGTTTTTCCACAAAAATGTTACAAAGAAGACTTAGTCTACAAGCGTAAATTTTTTGCATAATTTGTTGATATCATACCAAATTTAGACGTAACCCATCTGGAGAGATTTTGCGACCGCCATTTTGCGAAAGGTCATTCACCAGCCAATTTAAGACAACAGTAGCTATTTGCAATTGCTGTTTTTGAGGTAATTGAATGTAATGCTATGAAATAGTAGAGTCTATTTTCTATCACCCAACCAGGAGTTTGGCTTGTTTATCTTGTAAAAGGAAGTAAGTTATTCAGAACTATTGCATGCAGACAGTCGCGTACTCAGAATTTTTCGACGGGGAGAGGGTAGTTCGATGTTTCTATGTTTCACTATTGTCGATTTTTTCGAGCTCTGTTGAAACTTTGTGCACGCAGGCAATTTTTTGAAATAACGCTTTGGAATCTTTTTGTTTAGTTTTGATTTTGAAAAGAAACTTCGCGCCCTTTATCAAATTTGGTACTTTTTGAAAATTTTATGCGTGGGGAGTCTGCAATAGTTGTATTATTTTTGTATCAAACAATGACTATGAATATTTCAGTGATTCAGAACTTGAAGAAACTTCAGGGAGAAATGGATAAAGTATTCGAAAAGAGTGCAAAGAAGCTGTACAAGAACTTTAAAAAAGTGAGTTTCAATTGGGTTGCTTTCTGAAACGCTCATTTTAACGCTTCATTGCTTTGGTAAACCATCCAGATAAAAATCTCATTCAAGTTTTTATCAATTTTGCTTGTATTGAGTTGAAAAATATGAAGGCAAAGTTAACTCTGAGCTGTTTTAAAGGGAGGGTATCCTGCACACAGCTTATATATCAAACATCCAAAAAATCAAACAGTTCTGCAAGCATCAGAAAATCAGCTTTACTAGGGCAAACATCCAATATTTTTAAAAAGTGGGGCAAACATCAGATATTTTTAAAAAGTATGGCAAACATCCAATTTCTACTGCTCGCTTGAAAGATTCTGTTTTTGCTCTTTTTTCAATTACAAATCAAAACAAATTTGCCAACCCGGAACGACGTTGGACGATAAAAAGTTCATAATAAAAGTTATAAACTTTTTATTTTGTCGTTTTGGTTTTCTGATAAAGGTAATCATGGTACAAACAATTTTTTGCCGCTTTTTTCGTGAATAAACGAAAAAAAGTTTTAGCTTGTGCTTACGATGAGCAAAAACTTGTAATAGAATTTCTTGAGAGAGAAAGTATTTTCTACTTGTGATCTTGAAAAACGTTTCGTGGAATAAATTTTCATTGAAGACAATCATAGTCATGGACTTTTCAGAGCATATTTTTTTGCCATCTTTGATTATTCATGGTGCAGTTTCTAGCCATTCCTGCCAAATGAGCGAATTCAAATTTTATTTTGATGAGGCTGTGTGATTTTATAAAATTGTTAAAATTTGGAACCTCAAAAACTATAAAAACTCGTTTTTTTTGCTCTCATTCTTTTTTCTCTAAAAACAAACGTTGAAATTATTTTTTTTTGATAAGAACATAAGAAACATTAGTGCTATACAAATATCATAACAACAAAAACATATTGCAAAATTTGATTTTTTTGTGGAAATTTCTAAAGGTCAATTTTAAAAAAATTACTTTAAAATGAATAGACGCAAGGGGGATTCTTAAGTAGGTTATAAGGAGGAGAGACGATTTGAAACGCGTATTTTGTATTGTTTGATGCCAACAAGGTCGAGGCCGTAGTCTTAGGTTCAGACTTTATAAGTCTGAAACGATACTTGTTGACTAAACATAAGAAAAGTAAGTCTGCGAAGTCTGAACGTATGTTTGTAAAAGCTGAACATACGTCATCAAAAAAATTGTTGTATATTGATGCGGTTCGCTCACTTCGGGTTCTATTCGAATAAACACTAGTTCTTCGATATAAAAATGATTATCTCTACTTGCATTTTTCTACAAAAATTCTGAAAAAAATTTGAAAAAAAGAAATAGATAAAACAGTCGTTTCGTCGTTTTGATTCTTTTTTTATCCTTTTGAGTTTTCAAATTGTGATTTTTCTGCCATTTGTTGTTTGTGTTGATAGGTTGAAGTCATTGATGGAATTTCCACTCAATTGTATCCCCACCAGCTGCAGGCTCTCTCGTGGATGTGTGGCCGAGAAAACAACAAGACATTGCCTCCATTTTGGAAGAAGCTAACACAAACGGATTACAAAAATATCGTGACAGGCGATGTGCAAAAACACAAGCCAGCGGCCGTTTGCGGAGGCATTCTGGCGGATGAAGTTGGTTTGGGTAAACGTTTAGAAGTAATTGCCCTCATTCTTACAAATCGGTTACACGAAGGGCAAGCTAGTTCGCGAAGTAAACTAGCTACAGCCTCTAATGTGACCAAAGTTAAAATCAGTTCATTTGAAGATACAGCTAATAACAAATTTGAAAATAATCAGTCTAGAGAAAAAATGAAACAAGAAAGAAAAAGCAGGAGTTTTGACATGTTCAGAGGGTTCAACCGTTACGCCCTTCCTTCGTGTCATAAACTTAAAATTGGACCTCCTAAAAGTACTTTGATTGTTTGTACGTTTTCGCTGCTTTCTAATTGGCTCAAACAAATCGAGACACATGTGACTTCAAACTTGGGTTTGTCTGTTTTTCTTTATCATAAAAAAGATCGCTTCAACTACGCTATGGATTACATTATGAGCCATGATATAGTAATTTCGACATACAAAGTGCTGGCCGTTGATTTCAAGAACACGAAAATCGGCGAAAAGTCCGATGGAACAGGGAACCAAGTTAAATCGAACTCTTTATTGGATTGCAAATTTTTACGAGTTGTTTTGGACGAAGGATATTTGATACGAAATTCAAAAAAAGCCACCAGTCAAGCTTTATTTTCGATTAAAGCGGAGAAGCATTGGATAATATCAAACACGATCATTCAAAATTCCCTACCGGATTTTTGGGCTTTTATGCGTTTTCTACGATTAAAACCATTTGAAAACCCAGATGACGGCCAACGGTTGTGGAAAAAACACGTCGAAAAACCGCTTTTGAAAGATTTTGACAAAAAGATAGCCAAACATTTCAATAGCTTGCTGATGACTCTGGTTCTGAGAAGAACTAAAACAACTGAATATTTACCAAAAAAGACCGTGAAACTCATGAAAATTAAACTATCGACTGAAGAAAAGAATTTGTATCGATCCATGGAAAGCGCTGGAAGGGGCATTGTGAGATATTACTTCAGGATAGGGTGTCAGCTGAGCCATTACGCACATATAATGGCAATTATAACTAGGCTACGACAGCTTGTGTGTCATCCAAGTTTTTGTAAAAAGACTATCAGTTTAGCCTACGAAGCTGTGAGCAGCTCAGCGCGCGAAGAGAAAACGCAAGCGAAACTAATTGAAACCATGAACATCATTTTAGGTTCAAAGTGGGATGAAGAGTGCTGTCTTTGTTACGGATTTTATGAAAGTCTAGTAATAACATACTGTGCTCACGTGTTTTGCAAAGAATGTATTGAAAAATATTTTCAAATACCTGAACCACGATCTGAAATAGTATGTCCTTTGTGCAGATCGGTGGTTGCAAAAAAAGACCTAATAGAAGCTCCACGAAGATCCTCGGTAGCTCAACAAAACAACGACGCCGACTATAATGGTCAATCTAGTTCAAAAGTTATTGAAATGGTAAAAGAGTTAAAACACATACGAAAGCGAAATCCGAAGACAAAAAGTATTGTTGTGTCACAGTTCAATTCACTTTTGTCCTTGATTGAGAAACCCCTGCATGAGTCGGGGTTTAAGTTCACAAAATTTGACGGATCCTTGCCTGCAAAAAAACGTAATCAAGTTTTACTTTGTTTCGAAACTGATCCCAATACTACTGTACTTTTACTGTCGCTTCGAGCGGGTAACTCGGAACTCAACTTGACGTGTGCTTCGAACTTGTTTTTGATGGACCCGGCGTGGAACCCATCCTTCGAGGATCAATGTATCGACAAGTGTCACAGACTAGGACAAGGTAAAAAAGTGACAATCTACAAGCTTATCTGCGCTGGGACCATTGAAGACAAGATTCTGGAGATTCAAGAGAAGAAACGAAGCTTGGTACAGCAAAATTCATCGTTCACAGATGTGGCGAACCAATTACTCGAAGAGAGAGTCGAAGAAATTAAACTGTTGCTTAAAATAACGGAAGAGATAATCTGAAATTGATGACAAAATGGATCCTAGAGGACGAACTCAGTAAAAAGTGAAGCTCATGCACGGAAGAAATTAATCAGATTGAAAGTTACTGAAGTTGAGCTCTTTTTCGTTTCAGTTGCTTTCCCTAAGTGATTTGAATCTGTTCTTAATGAAATTATTTTTTCGATGGCTTGAGTTTTGAGCTCGAATTTTTTTTTTAATTACATTTTCAAAAATTGAGCTTTGCAAAAATTAAACGTCACAATTTTTTTTGCAGAAAAATTTCTAACATTGAAATAAAGGATTGCTCAAAAAATTTTGTTGACAATAAAAAATTCCAGAGAAATTTAACTCATTATAATCTATCACAGTTATAAAACTTAGCCCTTGAAACCGCGATTATATTGACATGTCTATTATAATCTACTATAACCCTTTATGTTTGGCGCTGAAACCGATTATTTTGTCTAGATCTAGTATTTCACGCTGAATTTGGCTGTGAATTTAACTCGTGGACCTCTCAGATTTTTTATTGAATTATATAGGCGTATGTTTTCCGTGAGTTGATTTTGTTAATTGTCCAAAAATTTGAGTTTTTATTTTGTGCCTCATCTACAACAATATTGTTAAAATTGGATCCGAATCTGTGTTTTGACTAGATCCGCTCCAAACTTTTAAAAAACATACGTGAAACGACAGTGAAAAGCCCAACAGAATTTTGAAAAATCTTTGTTGTTTTTTACACCTTCCTCATAACGAAAGAAAAATCTGAAATTGGTGACAAAATGGATCCTAGAGGACGAACTCAGTAAAAAGTTAAGCTCATGGGCGGAAGAAATTAATCAGATTGAGAGTTACTGAAGTTGAACTCTTGTTCGTTTCAGTTGCTTTCCCTAAACTATATAAATCTATTCTTAATGAAATTACTTTTTAGATGGCTTGAGTTTTGAGCTCGAATTTTATTTTCAATTAAATTTTCGAAAATTGAGCTGTGCAAAAATTAGACTTTACAATTTTTTTTGCAAAAAAAGTGTCCAACATTGAAATCAACGATTGCTCAAGAAAATTAATTGACTATGAAAAATTCCAGAGAAATTTAACTCATTATAAACTATTACAGTTATAAAACTTAGCCCTTGAAACCGCGATTATATTGACATGTCTATTACAATCTACTAAATCCTTTATGTTTGGCGCTGAAACCGATTATTTTGTCTGGATAACTCATTCGATTCAATTGTACTAAGAACTCATGTAATCGATTGTAAGCAACTAAAATCTGTTTTCTTTTATATTTAAGATTTTCGCAAATATAGCTTATTTTCGAAATTTTCGCAAAAAACTTGCCATGAATGAAAAATTCGAGAATCGATATTTTCTAAAATGAAAAGTAGAAAATATTACGAAGCAATTGAGATGAGGTAAGCAGCAAATGAATTGATTTCAAAAAAACTTGCACATTTCATCAAACTCTTCTCGAAAAAATCCCAGAAATTCGAGTTATTGTTTTTCAGTTATTGATTAAAAAACGATAAAAAGATTTATTATTATCCATGGCGCTTGGTGCGGGAATGTTTTGCAAATTTTTGCAGAGTTACCTGCAAGTAATTGCAATTAATGGCTGGGTTAAACTACTGATTGATGATTCAGTATTTTTTCATGAACTCTTCAACGATGATTCATCTATTCATCTGAAAAATACTAAAAAGTGATGAAAAGTACAACTATTATCAGCTTTAAATCAAAATGTGGGTTTTCTCTGATTTTGTAAAACTTAAAAAATGAAACTCGAAAAAAAAATACAAAATCATAAGAATTTAATATTTTATTTCAATGATGACCAATTTACTGCGTTTTTCTACAAATCTTCGAAACGGAAAGATGCCAAAAATTTTTTTTGTCCTAAATCATATTTTAGCTTGACACAATCATTTCGTTTGTTGTGCCTGTCAAATTAAAATCTCTGAGTTTTTGAGCGATATCATCAATTGATAGTTCTCAGGATAAAAATAGTGGCCAAAAATATGATCGAGAAATAATTTTAAGAAAAGTTTTAACAAAGCACAATAAATTCCCCAAGATCTACAGAAAAAAAAAATTGAAGTAATAATTCAAATTTAGCTCGCTTCAATTTGTCAAATCGTAGCATTAGTTCTTGGAGTTAGTGGTAAAAGATTATGATTAGGCAATTTTCAGCAATGTCACAGTAATATTAAACCGCTTATTCATCGCTGACTCAGCGTTGATGCAAATGAAACTCGCAGCGTCAAATCAGCGCTGATAAGTGGCACCGATCAAAGCCTGGTTCATCAATTGCAATCTAGTAGTTCATGCTGAATTTTGCTGTGAGTTTAACTCGTGGATTTTTTATTGAATTATATAGGCGTATGTTTTCCGTCAGTTTATTTTGTTAATTGTCCAAAAAATTGAGCAATTACTTTGTGTCTCATTTGCAACAATATTGTCAAAATTGGATGCGGATCTGTGTTTTGGCTAGATCCGCTCCAAATTTTTAAAAAACATAAGTGAAACGACAGTGAAAAATCCAACAGAATTTTGATAAATCTTTGTTGGTTTTTACACCTTCCTATTGGTAAATGAATTTTATTTGGGCTTTAAAACCTTTTTTAATTTGTCTTAAGCCTTTGTCAAGGCAAAAATTGAAAAAATGATACAGTACCAAACATGTTGGTAGTTGTATTGGTCCGTTTTTTGCGTTTCATACTGTAAAGGTAATTGGTCTGTGGGCAAATTAAGTTGTATCAATCTTTAAACGCCTGGAACATCTGTATCCAAAAGTGACATAATCCAAGTACCGGAATGTGTTCTGAAATGTTTGTTTATGAAGTGAGTTGAATTAAATAATAAAAAATTACTCTTTTTTAAATCTTGATAGTCACTTTGATGTCCTTCAAAAACTTAATGATAACTTGTGATTGCTATGTTGATTAGTCACTCAAAATTTACTTTTGTTAAACTGTTGTTGGTTGCTAGAGAAAAAACTTCGACCGCTAAAATCGAAATACAGCAAATGAAATAAATCTCAAGTTTCGTCTTGTAGATTTAAAAAACGGGAGCTAAAAGTTCAGATGATAAACTCCAAAAATGAGGCTATCGTGTAAAGTCTTGTCCAATCTTCCATGCAATTTAGTCTGAAAGTCGGGATAATTTTGCAATCGAATGACGAAAAACAGGCGTTTTTAGTGGCTTAACGAGTGTAAGTGGCTTAAAATATTCAGACCGCGGAAATCTAAATACAGCAGTTGGAAAAATATCAGGAGTTTTGATTGTTAGATTTAGATAACCGGGATGACCAAAAATGCTTATCATACAAATCTCATAAATGTGAAACTTCTTTTGATACAATTCTATACATACAGAAAATTGTATGAAATTTCTAAAATAAACATTTTCCAATAGATAGAAATTGTATGATAGGTGATTTTGCCATAAACCAAAAAGTTGTTTTTTTGTTTCTAATTTTATTTTCTGAAAAATTTTGGTATGTGTTGGGAACCGACACAAGTGACAAAGACCTTGGTTATTAAAGCACCAAAAGTGGGACGGTTTTGCATTTACTATGCATAGAAAACAACCTGAATTGTCTTCGAGCTGTCTTCCACAAATGATATAACAAAAGTAACAAACTTTTAATTTTTGGCTATTACTATCTTATCAACGACTATGTTATGCACACACAAAAATTAAATTTAGCATGCAAAGAAAATTTTTTCGGAAAATGTTTGCTTGCGTACAAAACTCCGTTTGCGGTTGAAAAAAAAACTAAAAATTTTTGGGGCAAATTTTCAAAATTACTTGGAAATTGTATGGCAAGCATTTTCTCCATACATTCGATGTATGGAATTGTATGATAATGATTTTGTTGTATTGAGTTGTATAATAATCATTTTCTGTGTGTGGAGCTCAACCCGGGTAGCGGTATGTGTATGATCAGATGATAAAATGCAAATTTTAAATAATTAAGACAAGAAAAACGTTTAAATTTTTAAACAGAGGTTTAAATTTTTTGTCCAATGCTTTGTAGAAGTGTTATTCTGAAAGGCGAAAAGTTTTAGGATTTAAATAGGAATCGGAATGACAACAGTTTTTGTGTGATACCTCTTTGAGGTTTCTAAAATAGGAGAAAGCCCACCCTGCATCATGATTAAGTGCCCTTTTGAGCAGTAGTCAGAGCAAAACAATCAGGTCATCATTGTCTCATAGGTTGTTTTAGTGTTGCTACTACTAAAACGAGTTCGACATCGCAATTTTCACATCAAAAATTTTACAAACATGGCAACAACTCAAAACAGTTTACACAAACTTGACAGTGAAAAAATATTCGACGAAAAAATATTCGAGGAAATTAACGAAAACTCTGCATCAGGGTTTAAAAAGTCCTTCAGCGAAATTCGATTAAAAAATGGCCATCTGCGATCATTTAAAACTTTTAGTATTCAAACTAAATAGGTTGTTTTTTTACCACATAATAGGCGAATAAAATGCATGGTCATTTTTTTCATACTTTGTTCCAGAATGTCACTAAAACAAAAAACTTTACTGTCTTAAAATAAAAAACAAATATATTTCCTGTTTGGTTCGAAATTTTTAAATAGACTTTTCATCAATTCAGATAAAGTTTTATTTCAGTCAAATTTGATATATTATACAATCTGCACCATTTTTTCTTCAGATGTTTTTCCTTCGTGAGATAATCTAAAAACAAATAGAGCACAATCATCAATTTCCTTGCACCGTCTCTCATTGTTTCCGAGTTCTTCGAAAAGATTTTCAGGAAATACCAAAGAAAGTAACTCCCCCAGCGCACACGTGATGTACTGTGAAGAGTTTGGCAAAAACCAGAAACGAGATGATAATACTGACTGCTTTTCTGCATATAGTAACTGTGACTGCAAGAAGCGCTCCGTATGTTACAATTAAATCCAAAACTAAATGAACCCCGCAATAACCAGTAAGTGAAAAGAGGAAGGCTTTAAATAATGTGTGGGTATCTAAAAGCGAGGGTCTTTTTATTAACGCCACCCTGAAAAATAGAACCAAATCTATAAAATGGTCCGCCAACATATTTTGTTATGATTTCTATCCGACTAAATTTAAAACTTGTTTCCACCTAGTAATTTCGGCGGAATAAATAAAAAGACCTAGAACTGGCAAGGCTTCCAGAGTGGTTCCTTAAAAAGCACAGTGAAGAGTATGTAGACAGTTCCGATAAGAAATGAGTAGAAAACGATTTCTGTGTTGCCGGTGCTGTACTTCTTCATGTAGAGTTCTTGCGGCTCTTTTTCCTTTTTCCCCACCTGCGATTTTTTTAACTTAAAGATTTGTTCATATATGGTCCCAATTGTTACAAAAACTGACGGGCGGACTAATTGGGCAATGGAAAAAATACTTTTTTTTTCATATTCAACCTTGTAAAACGATTCGTTTCACCAAAAATTGATGCTCGTGGGAGGTCTGGGTTAAAAAAAGAAAAACCGTTCCAGTGCATTCCCTATGAAGGCATCGGCTGTGAGAGTGCATGATATAATAATAATTCCGGTGACGTCGAAATTAGGCTGGACGGTACTATCCGCTAGAGAAAACCACACGAGACCAGCACAGAGTAGAAACATGGCTGAAATATAGACCAGCAGTTGGTTGGGTTCCAGTTACCTACCTTGAAACGTTGGACAGTGAATCAAAAAAGCTTGTCTTAAAAACACTAGTTTGTTTGCTTGTCTTTCTTGCATTATTTGAAAGTGAAAGTAATTGATACCGAAACTTTGGTTGAGGCAAGAAAAATTCAATGAGTCGGAAAAGTTTTGCTCATCTTTTAAACCATCTCTTAATATACTGTCCAAAACGTCAATTTGTAACGCAGTAAATTCAAATCAAAAACCAACTTAATCTCTTAAAGTCTAGTCTAGCAAGAGTAATGTTTCAGAGATCAACCGAGGATGACAGACAGCGCCGTAGACCGGTACCGGTCGGAATGACTATAGATGACAAAAACTGAACTGATTAAGCACCAGAAGAAAACGAAAATCTTAATGACTGAATTTAAAAAAAAACGTACTGCGTGAATTGTTGAATGATGAACCGTTGACAAAAAATTTAAATGTTGAAATTTACTGATTGATGAGATAGCGTTAAACTAGTATCATTAGAAGATCTGACTTTTTTAAAGAACTAAAAATGACTTGAATTAGTGATAACGACTTGAGTTTTATGACGGGGTTCCGGTCAGCCCTCTCCCTGGGTCCAGCTTTAGTTGAAGTTTTTGGTAAGTTTATCTCGCGCTCTACTTCTCTCGTTTTCCCTGCTTTTTCGTAATTTTTGTGACGGCCGTCCCCTTCCGTTCGCTACTGCTGTCGTCCTAGCTGCTATACGAAAGAGGTGTTGCTTTTACTCCATTCTTTTCTTTGCCTCCCCTGGTAACGCTGGTTTTTGTTCCTGAGGAGTCGTATTTTTCCCACCGGATTTGTTGCCGCGTCTTGTTGAGTGTCAGGTGGTTCTACGCTTCCTCCTGCAATTCCGCCACGCTGCCGGTTTCAGGTTTTTCTCCCATATCTCGCATTTTTGCTGCTCCCCTGAACGCTCGAAGGAAGTTGTCCTTCCGGTAGAGTTGCAGATCTGCTGCTCGTCATTGTCGCGCCGTTCATCAATGTCGCCCGTTTCGTCGAATTAATTGATAGACTATTGCTGTCCTCATCGCTTCCTAACATGCTGTCAGCACCGTGATGTTGCCCCGCGTGTTTCCTTGGTTCGGACTGTGCCGGTATGCCGACGTTTGTCGCCTTCCTCGCAAACTTTCTCCATATGTCTTATAGAGTCGGTGGTTTCGGGTATTTTTTCGGGCTTTGCTTGGCCGCCTTCCATGCTGTTGCTGCAACTCCCGATTTCCTAAGTACAGCCCAACTCTTTAATGTTAGTGTATGCGCACTTTAGTCTTCTACTTTTAACTTTATTGGTCTAAGCCCTTTCAAGTTCAGGTCTCCGGTGCGCTACATTTGGCCTGCGGGTCCTGGTGCTTGGTCGGCGCTTCCCTGGCTTACGGATCACTGGTTCGTTCTCCTGGTTGAGAATCTGTTGGCCTATGAGTGTCCTTGAATGGCCTCTGTGCTTAATGTCGACGACCAGATCGGATCGCGCGCCTGTGGCATATCCAGTGATGTGGCATATCCTACACCCTGTCATCTAAACTACCAATTTTTGTTTTTTATTTTTATGTGACCAGTTTAAGTTTTGGAGGAATTTTTTTTAGCTTACGTAACACCTAGTTGGCTTCGAATGGCAAATTTTTCAATGTTGCTTTTTTTGGGAAACGTAAGGTGCCGAGGGCCATTTTGATCATTATTTCCAAAGAATCTGTTTTTTTTTGCGATAGTCAAAATTGAGTTCATAAGACTACCAGTTGTACTTTCTTCGTATCCCTTTGCTCGTTGATAGTCGTGTGCTTCGAATTGCAATTTTATCAATGTTGCTTTGTTTGGGCAACCTAAGGGGCCAAGGGCCTTTTCGACTATTATTTCCGAAGGTTCTGTTTTTTTTGCAATAGTCAAAAATATGTTTTTGATACTACCGATTTTACTTTCTACGCATCCCGTTGCTCGGTGATAGTTTAAGGGCTATTTTAGGATTTCTATGCTTTCTATGTTGCGGTAAGCCTTCACATCATGTGAGATAAAATTTGTTTTTTGGTGGTCGGGCAAACCGTGGGTGGCGATGTAAGTTTTCAGAAAAAACTTGAGAAAGAATTTGTTCGATCGGTTCTTACAACATAATATTACTGAAAGCCAGCGCAAAAGACAACCAACTGCACTAGTACGTAACGCATGTTTCGTTTAGATAGTGTATCAGCCACCAAAAAAGCCGTACATGTTCATTCGGTTTCCCCAAATTACTTTTTTCCCCAACGTCCTTTTTACTCTTTTAAGGTTTGAAGTGGTTACTGACGGCTGTGCGTTAGGTACAATTTTCAGCAACTGAGGTGACTGAACGGTAGACGTAAGGATAATAGATTTCTTTTGCTGTGGCAACTAATTTTGTTGTACCAAGATTGAAGGTGTGAATTCGAATGTCGACGACATAGGTAAGGTTCATATTTGGATAATTAAATTCTCGTTCATCCAGAGAACATTTAGTTTGTTGTAAATTTCTCTAACAAATTTGACATGTAACGTTTCATTGTATTAACTTTCTCAAGCAAATGGGAATAATTTTGTTTAATTATCTCCATGATGGAAAAAGTTGGGATTCATCGTTGTATTGGGACTTAATAATTGTAGATTAAGTAACTCTGGAAGTGAAGTTAATTTTCAAGAAAATCCGAACTTTATCAGACCGGTTCTGACAACAAAATTTTACTGAAAGACATTACCAAAAAAAAACAATCAAATGCACTAGTACATGCTACTTTTTGTTTCGTTTTAATAGTGTAAGTGCCCCCAAAACAGCTGTATGGTTTCATTCGGTTCATTAGTTCGCTTATTTCCCCAAATTACACTTTTTACTCTTTGATGGCTTAAAGTAGTTACCGGAGGCAGTGCATTCGGCCCAACTTTTAGCAATTGAGGCAATTGTTTTGGTATACGTATGGATATCAGATATCTTTTGCTGCGGCAAACTTTTTTGCTTTACCATGATGGAAGGCATCAACTTGGTTGTTGACAATAAGGATAAGGTTCATTTTGAAAACCCATTTTTCGCTCAACCAGAAAAAATATTCTTTGCCGTGAAAGTCGCTCACAATTTGGGCATAATAAAGTTCCATTGCATGTGTTTTCAGTCAAATGGGAATCTTTATGTTTAATTAGCTCTCTGATGGCAACAAACTTGGAGTCAGCGTTCTCTTTTAACTTAAAAAATTCTAGATAAAATAACTCTGGAAAGAACGTTAAAATGCTAACGAAAGTGTAGCCTCGACGAACAATAGACATATATAAATTTTTTAGGGTCCACTAGTAGAATTGTCTCCCAGTTAAACGCCGAGGATAACAATATAGTAGTATTAGTTCTGATTGTTCTTGTCCTTTTGTAACCGTCACTAATGTCGAGCTCATTGTAATTTCTTCTTTTTCATCATCCTTGCAGTTCAAACTGGGACTTTTTTATAAGTATTTCTAGTCTCCTAAGGCTTTGACCCATTTTTGTACAATTGTAATTTTTAAGTTTTCGAGCTCCTTGTAACTTCCTTCTAAATGAGTAATAACACCGACTAAGGTCACGTTCGCTTCGCTTGACTTTCGGTTTTTTAAAAAAAAAATTTAGTTGTGATTAGCAAGTTTCTGCGCGCATGAATAGACGCCTTCTACTGGCGTATTACTCGACGAAAACTTGCATACTGCAAAATGATTGGCTGCTTGGTTTAATTTCGGTTTTCGGCTTCTTAGATGAGTTAGAAGTATTAAATGCAATGACGCTGCGTTTTGAATTGATCTTCATCAATGTAAACATATAATCATAAGTTTTTACTGGTGTAACTTCATTGTTCGGATTTTGCAATAAAAAATCTGCTAGGCCGATTTTAGCCCCTGGTTTATGCTTAACTTGGAAATCGAACGCAATTAGTCAAAACAACAATCGTGTTACTCCATTGAACATGGTTTCATTTTTTTATTGTAACCGTTTAAGAGTGTGAAACAAGCGCTTTGTGATCCGTTATTACATAACAATTCTGGCTAAAGACGTCATTGCGAAGGTAGTTTGCGCCCCCCATACAGCGGCTAGCATTTCTAACTCGTTTATTGATTTTTTATTCAACTTCTTATAAGTACTTTGAGGCGAACAAAATTGGCCTCTACCGTGGCATCTCAGTTGCTCCAGGACTGCCCGTAGGCCGATGTGGCTCCCGGCGTATACTATTCTGATGTCCTTTTGGATACGAAAAGCTATGTGCTCTAAAATAGTCACGACTTTCTTTTTCAATTTCTCAAATGACACTTGGCATTCCGCTGTTCGATAAAAGTGTGTTTGCTCAAGAGTGGCCGTAAGGGCCAACAGATTATTCACTTGGAAATGGAAAGAGGCCATGAAAGATTTCAACTTTGATAGCGTTCGGGATAATTGTATTTCTTTTTTAAATTTCAACGCGCTTTTTTCCTTTCCAGTTTTTTCAAGATTTTCTCGACCGTTCCTATATAATATATTACTGTGTCTTTAGCATCCAGCAAAAATGTTGTCTATGAACGCATGCGTCTGCAGGAAATTGGAGAGAATGCAATCAATAGCTCGCCGGAAAGCGGAGGGCATCATCATAAGACCGTAAAACTCAATTTAAAACGGCACATATCCTCAATTTTCCCCCTAATAGTTAAAAAGGGCACGTCTATCCGCGTTAGGTGGTAATTGGTGGTACGCATGAGTAAGATCGATGGTTGAAAAGACATATCTCCCGGTTTCTTTTCGCTGATCGTTGCCCGAATATGTCCATCATTTCTTCTATATTCGGCATTGTATACTTTTGATATACCTATTTATTAATTTTTCTTAATTCAAGCGCTAGTTGCACGAATCCGACCTTTTGAAATGTTATTACAACTGGCGATAAAAACTTTTTTTATCGGAAAAATCTTTTAGTTTTTTTAAATATGGCCTTGCTATAGCAGCTTGTTAATCTCGTTTTCCTCCTTATCCTGCAATGTGATTGGTAGTTTTCGCATTTTTTGTTGTACTTGGTCTTTCCACCCTAAGGAAAAGATTTGAAATTTGCATACTGAAATTTTCAAATAGTGAAGCATACTGAAACATCCTGCTACGATTCAAGTGCTACTTCTTGCCCCGAATGCCTGCTTAGCTCCTCGTTAATGGCCAAGACATGAGCCCCTGGTCTCTACTGGACCAATTGTAGCACCAGGTGCACCGCCAAGTCTCGTTCGATAAGGGACGGTCAGTTTCCCCTGGTGATTTTTATTTGTGCTTCAGCTTTCGACCCATTGAACTCCAAAACGACCTGCATCGTCCCGATCAGCTTCAATGGGTTTCTCTCAAAATCCAGGAATGCATTCTGCTGCGAGTGCCTCCAATTTCATATTCGACGCCACCAGTGTTTTTTTCTCCGATTATGAAAATGGGAATCGGAGATCCGCTTTTGATCCCGACTTGAGTGGTTTTCCCATTAATACGAATTGGCAACTGGACCGATTTTCAGTTCGGTACTTCCTTCATGTCGAATTGTCATTACAATATAGTCTCCTGAACTATCAGAGTCCCATGAGTGTGCCACTGGTTCGCCTAGCTTGACCCAATCAATCGAACCTGAAATGAGGAAATTTGCATACTGAAATTTTCAAATAGTGAAACATACTGAAACATCCTGCTACAATTCAAGTCTACTTCTTGCCCCGAATGCCCGCTTAGCTCCTCGTTAATGGCCAAGACAGGAGCCCCTAGTTTTTACTGGACCAACTGTAGCACCAGGTGCACCGCCAAGTCTCGTTCGATAAGGGACGGCCTGATTTACCTGATGATTTCTATTTGTGCTTCAGCTTTCGACCCATTGAACTCCAAAACGACCTGCATCGTCCCGATCAGCTTCAATGGGTTGTTCTAATAATCCAGGAATGCATTGTTTTCTGCTTTGAGTGCCTTCAACTTCATATTCGACACCACCAGTGTTTTTTTCTCCGATTATGAATATGGAAATCGGAGATCCGCTTTTGCTCCAGACTTGAGTGGTTTTCCCATTAATACGAATTGGCAACTGGACCGATTTTCAGTTCGGTGTTTCCTTCATGTCGAATTGTCATTACGATATAGTCTCCCGAACTATCAGAATCCCATGAGTGTGCCATTCGTTCGCCTGGTTTGATCCAATCAATCGAACTTGAAATGGGGAAATGAGGTCCTACGATTCCCGTGGATCATCAAAACCTTGACTCTCTTGCTACTGGGTTATTTCAACTGATCCAGGTCCTCTTTGTCTCCCACGCTTCCTCTTGCAGGTACGTTCGTACTGTTATTTTATTTTTTAACACAAAATACAGGTTACCCGCTCGCTTGATATCTATCCATGTGCTCGCATGTGAAGTTTGATGGATCGCAATTGTAGCATCGATGGTTGGTTGAAGTTCGCTACGGTTCAATCCGCGCCCTTTGTATGTGCGCCTGCCTCGCGACCGATTGATGCGGTAGCCTCCTGTTCACACTCCTTTGGTTTCATTTTCTACCTGAAATGCTCATCCG